TAAAGGTTGGAATACGAATATCCTTTGACAGGTTTTCTAAAAACAGGTGGAGCAATCAACAATTGTTATTGTTACCTATTTTTTACTATCATTTGTTCTAAAGTTTGGAATATCCTTCTGCTTGATTCCTCGCAGTTTTCTAAAGATAGGTGGAGCAATATGGCTCGTGTAAAAATGATACTTGCCTTGTAAGCCTAGCAATAAAGGGCAAATTTGATTATTCGATGTTCATGATCAGAACATCAGCAAAAAAACAAAGCAAAATAATCCCATAGTTCCCATGGTTTACTAGTAGCTCCTTCCCCCCTATAAATCGCATCTTGTCCATGAATTTGACATTAATTTACGGTTAGGATTCATTCTTCTGTATGATGGGGCTATAAAATTCTGACCTGGACTGATCATTCATTCTCCCTAAATTTAACACCCATAGTCCTCATTTGGGAGGGAGAAATAATAACAATTGATTATTTAGGACTAGTTTTCCGGAGGGCTATCTTTTTGGTTGTTTTCAGCTTTCATGAATTTTCAGACAGTGAAAGCTGAGAATCCCTCATCATCTGAGCCTTCACGTGGGGAGTAATTGGGATTTGCTTATCATAGAATGCACTTCATAGTGATCTTATGCCACATCCCAGTGTGTATTGAGAATATCTTCTATAAATAACAACACATAAGATAGGATATGTAGTTAATTACATAAGTTCTGTTTCGCCATTCTGTTTTGTTTAATACCATTCATTTTTCTTTTAAACCTACTAATGCTAAGAATCAATGTCCTGAAGAAAAAACAACATTGACATTGGATGTAATTGTTATTGAACTTGCACTTTGAATAGCTACCATCAGTTCATCAGGTTTCATCAAATTTCATTCTTCTATGTTAGTATCATTTTTTCTCAATGACAAGGGCATCATGGTTTTTAAAATCGAACCGGTTAGGGGACCGATTACAGGGTCGAATGGTCTGACTGTTTGAACCGAATGCTTAATCTGTTCTGATAGAAAAATAAAAAAATAAAAAAAGGTCAAAACTGTTTGAACAGTTAACCACCCGGTTCAGCGATTTGCTGACCAAAATCAACGGTTTTAGGGAAAAATCCGGTTTTTAGAGAAAACAGATGACCAATTTCCGGTTTTTCTGATCCGACCATCCGGTCCGGCCCAGTTTTGAAAACCATGAAGGGCACCAAAGTGCTCACCTAACAATCTTTTGGCTCTTTTCAACTTCCAATTAGCATCTCAACTCAAACTTGAACCATTTCAAACGGGCCCCTTAATTGGATTGATGGCATTTATGTGACTGAAAACCCATTTGGAGGGGAAAAATCAGAAAGCGACTCTTGCCTTTGGACATGCATACTAATAGTCCTAAGATGTGGGCAATTCAATGTTCATTCAATATTGATATTAAATGACAGTGAAAGCATCCAAAATCCAAACAAACAGAGGAGCCCGGATCACGTGCCAATAAAATGCATTCCAACCCCCGACGACGGGTCTAATTTTATGGTGGGCCCAATTTCATAGTGAGATGTCTGGTGTTGGATTAAGTTGGTAGGTGATAGAACGTGTTTTGTTGACCGGCGATCTCAACTCCAAACAGAGCCGGTTAAAAGATTGAGCGAAGGGATTTGTTGATTATTTCGACTCTCAATCTTCATCCATTTGTTTATATAGATATGTTTTTTTTTTTTTTTGTATATACATATTAATCCAATCTAAGGATAGTACATTTTCAACATTTTTGGGTCCGGAATCTCAACATCCACAACAAACAATTATTATATGAGATTTTGAAATTTCATTTAAAATTCCAATCATGTTAAATCTTGATCGCAAAGGCAGTGTCTGATCAGCAGGAAAATGGTAGGTAAAGAAAAGGAAATGTAAGGAATCAAAACAAATACAACCTAAACTTTTAATCATATATACCCATCACTTGTCCCTGGGAGTCAGGTACTAGATCTACTTTTAATAATAATAATATGGTGATAAATAAAGGCAATTATAATTATAATATGATATATTTTTTTTTCTGTAAATTAAAAATGTGTAATAACAGTACTTGACATCATCACATAACAACATGGGGCTTCAAATTGGTAAAAAAGTTGGTTTATAATTATGAAAACTATTTTAACTAACCACAAATTGTCACCGGTTCCAAATTCAATTTAAGTTTTGGGATCCTGTTATATTGCATGAGGACATGTTGGGGGCATCAGATCAGACACGTATAATAAATTATTGGAAGTCTAGAAGTCTAGAACCTCCCCAATAAGCTAATGTGTTGTGGTATAAATTATTGGAAAGGTAATAGTGACCATCTGATAATTGAACAATTAGGACAAATTACCATCATGCCTTGCCTTGCGATGGCCAAATTTGCGTTTCTCCACAGCCCCTCCTTTTCAAGTCACTGCATTAGCTCTTGGATCTTGGTCCTACAATCAAAGGATGACCCACACTTTGTTGCTTGACAAAATTGGCACTACATCTACATTAGTGTCACCATCTGAAATCTGTTTTTTTTTTTTTTATACCACACCTGATGTTTGGTTATACGTTTTTTTGTAAAAAATGTTTTCTTAAACCATGTTATGAAAATCAAGAGAAAATGTCATTTTTTTATCTTTTTAATGTTGCTAACAATAGTAGTATGCTGATGTGCGACAAATCCTTGTTTGTGTGGCAGCAACCAGCAACGATCCAAAGAATATTTTGACATGCCAATGTAACATTATTTTTTTTTTTCAAAAAAAAAAAAAACCACCTATCATGAAAAGGCATTAATTCCCAACATGACCTTACTCTAATTTCTGATATTGCTCCCTATCTGCTTATATTCCTTGCAATTATAATTTAGGCATTTATAAACAAATTTGGCGTGTGGTCACCGTGGTATCGTATGACAACATTGAGAAACGACAATGCTTATTATATTTATTTTTATGTAAATACACGAAACAAATATAAAGTATTTTTGTAATAACATAAGAAATAAAAAAAATAAAACAAAAAAAGAAAAGATAAATTTTTTAAACTATTCTACTCTTTAACTAATTGACTAACTCTATCCTATTGTTTATATATTATCTATTTATCTTATACTTCTATTATTTTTGACAATTGACTAATTATTCTTTTATCGTTGGAGTTTTGTCACAATTCATCATAATCTGTTCATATACCACACAACATGACTGCTATATTTTCAAAAAATGACAGTAATACCCTTAAGGGAGGGGGTGTGCTTGTATGCTTGTGCTTATCGTCTGAAAATGCATTCAGTCCTAGGGCCCATCAAAAGCAGATCTATTGGTTCAAGGCTTATTTTCGTGTAAAGAGCAGACCTTCACGAAGATTCAACCTTGGAAGCTGATTAGTTTGAGTCATCACAGTTGAGAGCTTTGATCTTTCGAGCATCCCAAGCTGAAAATAGTTGGCTCTTCAAACCGAGAGCTGGGTTGCACCGATGGCGACGTCAGTTGGGAATTTCTGGTGAATCCTGTACGTAATCGACAAGTTACATCCAGAGATAACTTTGTTCGGGAATTTCTAGTTGGTGGGGAGGAGGTCGTGTCGTCTCCACTCTTCTAATACTTCCTGATTTCTCTCAGAGCCACCGCCTTAGGTCTGAACCTTGGGTCTTCTTCACTCCACTAGTCGCCCTGGTTTCTCTTAGAGCCACCGCCTCAGGTCTGAAACTTGGGTGTTCTTCACTCCACTAGTCGCTAGAGCCGATTTCCTAGCCGCTTTAGTTGCTAATTGCTTTTAGGTTCAGGGAACCCCATCCTTGACCAGTACCGATTGAACAAAACCCAAAGTTAATCCTTCAGAAGGGGCGGAATCCCTCTCCAAAGAAGATTCGTCTTCTTCTCTTCCCTCACCCCTAAAACCCCTGTAATTCTCCGCTAAGAGGAACTCTAGCAACGCATGAAAACTCCATTGTCCTCCACCTCGCTCAGCCCCTATATAATGATACCCTTATGTGATCATCTGCATCATTCCTTCACAACTTTCTTTTTATGTTTTCTGTAGGAAATGGCAAGAACCAAGCAAATTGCAAGGAAATAACGTTTTCTATGTCTTTGGTTTAATCTTCTTCTTGATCAGAGACGAAGGGGTTTCCCAGTTGCTCATCGCTAACCCAACAATCGGCAAATCATTCGTCGTTTTGACGAGGGGCCCTATCGTTCCGTCTGGTTTATTGTTCTTTCGTCTTGAAAGAACATTTTCTGTGTCTTCACTTTTCTTCGAGGGAAAAATAAGTTTGGAGAGATTGACGAAACTTTTTTACCAATTGGGTTTTATTTTGAAAATTTGAGAAATGATAAAAAGGACAAATTCGATATTTTGTTTTTTCATTAGCATTTAACATCAATGACAATTGTTAAAAACAGTAGGGTTATTTAAGATAATATATAAACAATAAAAATATACTTAATTAATTAACTTAATAATAAAGATAATTTAATATTTTAAAGGTGAAATAGTAGGGAGTAGGGAGGGACTAGGCCCACTAGGGAGGGGTTGGGGTGACTCATGTCATGACTGCCTGCGCTGCGCTTGTATCACTCATGACTCATGACTGCCTGAGCTGCGTTGCGCTTGTATCAACTATCAATTGTATGGCGTGATTTGTTTTCGTGGAGTATTTTTAGAGGTTTGGGTGTTAGCGTGTAAGGGGCAATGTGCCGCGGTTTTCGGTGGAAATCAGAGTTTCAGCAGCAAAGCCAAGAAGGGAGGGAAGACTGAAGAGGTTTCAACAGGGGAGACATGCCCAGATCTTTTCCAACATCAACTGTTTCTCACTTCTTCTCACTTTATCAATACCAAGTACCAACGCCAAAGCCAAAGCCAAAGCCAAAGGTCTCTCTCTCTCCTTCATCTTTTCTCTGTACTTCTTCTTCTTTGTCTCCAATTTTCCGGTTCCTTCCTTTTTCTTTTCTTTCTTCGTGGATTTGTTGTTTTTGGCTTATCCAAACAGGAAAAACAATGTTCATATTTTAGTTTCTCCCTTCCGTTCTCTTAGTTTTTTCAGTTTTTTTTTTGTTTTTTTTTTTATGTTTTTGTTATCGTAGTTTATGTAGAGGCTAGCATGCTATCGGTTGTTTGTGTATTTTGGTTTGTATTATTTGTTGATTTTGGATGTGGTTGGACTTTGAGATCAAGCCGATGGAATAGCAGTTATGATATTTCTTCCTGGTTTTATACCTTCCGAGTTCTAACTACTACTTGCTTAGTTGCTTGCTGCAGTTTTTGACGTGGGTCTTCTTGTTGCATGTTTTGCTTTCCTTGAAAAGAAAAAATAAATTTCTATTTGGGGCAACTTTCTTTGACTCTATGTTGTCCTTTCTGTTTCATTTTTATTGCAGTCCGAGTGCATTTGTTCTAAAATCTGTGAATTTTCTTTTATTCTGCCTCTACTAATTGGACGATGGTTGTATCTTCACTCAATTTGATACATCGGTTTCCAAGTTATCTTCTTTGCGGAATATAGTCACATGTTTATTGTCTGGTTTCATCTTTGTGGTGTTTGGCAGCCGTTCGGGATGAGATTACTTCATTTTTCTTTTTCATACAATTTTAACCAATAGATTCTTCATCTGAAATGATCCCCACGGTGGAAAGGGGATTCTTCCTGGCTCCTGACGCAGAAATCCTAATGATGGTGACTAACATTGACTTGTTATCGAGGCAGTTGATGGAGCCTGGAATTCGTAGCAAATATTCAAATGATTGAGGAATGCACCTCTCGCCAGTCGTATATTGAAATCCTAAGAGGCTAAGAAAATGATAGAAACAATTTCATGTATTGAAATCCTAACATGTTCTGATTTCGATTTCTATTGGCATCTTGAAATGTTTCCATTTTAGGTGATAAGTTTGTGGCTTGAACCGCATTGAAAATCTAGATTGAAATCGTTTCCTATTAGATGGCTTTATTAGGCCCTATGGTGCTTGGTTATCCTTTCTTGTTTATTTATTTATTTATTTATTTATTTTTTGGGGAGGGAGTCAATGTGGAACAGATTCATTTCTTTCTCATTTTTGTTCTTTTGGTCCATTTGAACATGTAAATTCATCATCTAAAATGGTTGTTTTCCTGGGAATCTCATTTCTATTTTTCTCACTTTCCTCTTGAGTAACCCCGTTTTGGATTGTGTGCTAATATGCTAGAGAAACCTGAAATGATTTCATTCTAGATGGCTTTCAAATACTTTATTAAAAGTGATTATATTAAAGTTTTTTTTTTGGCAAATGCCCTTTTGATTTCATGCACAAACATCAAGAAAAGATCTGTATTTCTTAGGATATAATACTTTTGTTTCCCATTAAAACATCATAAATTTCCCTCCAAAAAATTGAGGAAAACTAGAATGTCCAAGTATATTGGTATTTTTCTTTTTAATTTCAACAGATTTTCAAGAAATTAGACTTGTCATATTTGAATTTTATAGTTCCTGGAGAGTGCTCTTCACTTTTTAGGTTAGTATCCTTTGCTATTTCTCATTTTAGTTTTTCTATTTGCTTGTTTGTCTGTTTTGTGTTCAGATGGGGGTGTTTCATCATTTAACTTGTATATCGTTCTGGTGATCTCCATGTCATGTACCCAAGTTTTGTAGGGATTCTCTTAGAAGAGGAACTTCTGACAGATGAAGTTTTGAGGAGAAAGCTTATTTTCATTGTATTTTATTTTATTTTTTGTGGGTGGATAGCCTAGATGATCATTGCCACTACAGAGACGTGGATGATAGAGTCTATACCCTTACCTATTATGCAACATCAAGATGTTGATGATTCTTTGGGTGTTAATGAGACATGTGGAGTGTGGTGGAGACTGAAAAGTTCATTGGAGCTTCCCTTGATAATGGAGAAGATGGAGTGAAATAGATTTCAGACAAATTGGAGTAAGAGGACAGAATGTTTGCAAGGTAAAATTCCACTACAAATGCTGCGTGGAGATCCTAGGAAAATATTTTTGGTAGGCAAAATGTTTGCAAGGTAAAATAATTGTATACAAAAAATATCATTTTTACTAAATTTTCTAATAAAAACTTGGAAAAAGGTCATGGGCTAAACTACTAGGTTTTAGGGTTACATGGAGGAGATAGACTTCCATGAAATCAGGAGTTCTATTTGATGAGGACAATTTAAGGAGATGGTTATACAGTAGAACTAAGTAAAGCCTAAAATCTATTGTTCTAAAAGGTGCCCCTGGGCACATAGATGAGCTACATTTTAAGACATATGCCCCACTTCAACTCAGAAGGATAACTGTGAGGGTTGTAGACTGGGTAAAGACTAGGGAAAATTTTGAGGAGTTTATGACAGATGTCATCATCATAAATTGAAATTACATGGCTGCATCTTAATCCAACAGGGTGGTATCATTATTGGACTGTTACCCCCTCTCCAAGGTGTAATAAAACCAAAATTTGACAGGTGCTGTTTGGGGAATCCAGGTGGTTGAGGTAAAGAAGGCCTCTTGGCACCACAAAGAGGTGATTTTATGTATTTTGGACTTATTGGCGTGGGCAATACTTTTATATCAGAATTACTTCCACTATTACATGGCTTGCGCCTTACTTCAAACCTATTGCCATCTAGATTTGAGGTGGAAGGAGATTAACAGGTGGTAATTGGGTTGATGAGGAGTGGAAATGACAACCTTGGAGAATTCAGAAACCACATTAAAGAAGTGAAATTCCTGGCCTATATTTTGAACTATTGGCTAACACACTTGCTGATCTGTAGAAAGGAAGGGTGTGAATTGGGTTATGTGCATTTGAATTTGCTGATCTCTAGCAGTTGGTGAATGTTGGAGTGGATCTAGATGGTCCTTGAAACCTAATGTTCTAGTCAAAGAAGTAAAACTTCTAGGATCCAATCTGAGTTTTATTCAGGTGAATTCCAAGGTTGGAAAACTGCATGGCAGATAGTCTGGTGAGGATTGGGTCATGGGGATGAACAAAAATACTTTAAATTAGGGAAAACCAGATCTGGGGGTTAATTTTTAATAGAATTAGGGAGCTTCAATGCCTTTGTTAGCTTATGGTTGTTTCTATGCTCTCCTCTACTTTTCTGATATCTTTTGAGAATAGAGTTGTACTAAAAATTGTACCTCTATCAATAAAGTCACACCTGTTAGCAATAAAAAAAAAGTGTTCTCTTTTTGGAGTATCTGGTGTTCCATTGACCAAATGGTCTCATTTGAGACTATTTCTGTTTCTGTTGGTGGGGTTTTTTGAGCTGTTAATCCATGTCTAGGCCATTAACTCTTTTTTTTTTTTTTATCAGCGCCTAGACCATTAACTTTCTGTTTGGCTGGGTTGTTTTTTGGGCTGTCTGATTTCAGAGTTCTAGGATATTGGTTTTGTAGGGGTTTGATCCTTTTGTAGGTTGTGGTCTTGGGTGTGTTTAGTCATGGCTTGCTTGTATTGAGAGCCTCCTCTTCCTTTGTTTCTTCTCTATCTTCTTCTCTGTTGTTGTGGGAGAAACATTTGTGGCTCCAAGAGCATCTCTTGCTAATATACCTTGGGTTGTAAGTCATGTAACACTTTAGCTTTAACTTTGACGACTGGGAAGAGATAATTCTTGAATCTTCTATTTACTGTCATCTGAAGCCAAAGGAGATAGCTGACATCTTAGCAATTATGTTGTGTGTACATCATGGTTAGGAATTACTACTTTATCAGTTAATACTTAACAACCACTATGGCACTATTTACTAGTATTCTTGACAGGATTAGGTTCACAAGAATAGTCAAATTTCTTTACATATTTGTTTGCTTTTTGATGTTATCAAATTGCTAATAGCAAGAGGCCCTTCCCGAGGTTTTCTTGATTCTTGCCCATTTTAGTTGCCTTTCTTTTGGGAGGGGAGGCTGTGCCTTCTTCTTCTTTTAGACTTGTGGTGGTTTATTAAATGGAATCATTTGCATTCAATTTCAGACAGTTGGTAGCTACAGTTTTCTCTTGGTAGTAGTTTTGCAATCTAATTAATCCCACGTTGTAATCTTGTAGTTGTAAATATCTCATTCACTCCTCAAGTAACGATATTATAATTACATTTAGTTTATCTTTTTGGAGATGTGTTGTTTAACATTGCAAATCTACATGTAATCTGCATTTAACTTTGATAAGCCTGGACCAGTACAGCTTATTTGTTTATTGGATTTCTTTTTTGAAGGCACTTCCTATTCAAGCAAGAAAGGCCTTTGAAGAGATTATTATGGATCTAGGAGATTTCACATCTTAATTTCCATACATGCAATGAAGAAAAGGACAAAAGAAAGAAAAACATAACCAAGAAAGGTTCTGATTAAAGTTGTATCCAGTCGACATCCCCTTGTGTTGTTAATTGCCTATTGTGGAGGAATTCTGTTGGGTCACAGATGCCAGCATCATCTCTGTCCAAGAGCTTGATCTTGAAGATGGATGCTCAATCTCAACATTGTCATAACATAAAGAAACTAGGTCTTCAATCACAAGAGCAGGATTCATCGTCAACTCAATCAACTGGCCAATCTCACCATGAGGTGGAAGCTGTGGGGAGTGGCCATAATGGACAATGCATTTCGGAACAATCTGGTATAAGTTACTCATAGATAAGTGGTATAAAAATGATGTTATTTGTATTAGATTTTATATAATGTTCTTATTTTCCTATTTAAGATTATGAGGTATAAGTAACTTATAAATTTTTTATTGGACTTTTAGATATTGAGAAATGAGATCTTAGGGGCTGTTTTTGGTAACAGCTTTAGTGTCTGAACTAAATGGTATTGCTTTGTCTTTTACTGGATAAGTTATTAAGGAAGTTGTGAGCTCTTTAATGGCTGAAGCTGAAGTTGGGTTGATTACTATACCCTTGAATGTTTTATTATTTAATTATTTTATCTACTTAAAGACAATGTTTCATTTTTATAAGATGGTGAGGAATGAAAAGAAAACTTGGATTCACTTTCCAGGTAGCGTGACAGTGACATTTGTTTGTAATACCTTCTTTGACCAAGCCGTTCTGGCTTCATTAATGCTTCTAAGGTTCTGCATGCACAGAATATCAGAACTGCAGTCTGCAGTCCCTAAGACAAAGGGCTGTGTAAAATTCAGTTAAGTTAGCTTGCATGTATCAATGTGTGATTTTGAAATGTACTGTTATGCTATGTTACCCTGATATGGAGAGGACAGAGCTGGAGATGGTATAGGATACCAAATTTATACTAAAAATTGAAGTGTCTGACACATATGGCGCCCCTGTACAGGTATTTGGGACCTCTGGGTATATAACTATTATTCAGATGGATACTGAACCTTCCTAAGAACACTTCGACAGGTGCTGAAAATAGGTGACTGATGTAAAAGGACAGGAAAAAACAAAGAAAAGTAGGGCAATGATAGGGTTTAAAGCTAGGATTTAGGGCTATGAAGATGGGGTAGGTCTGAGGAATGATTTAGGATTGTTAGAGAATGTTGGGATTTAAGAGAGAGAATTCTAGAGAAAGAAAATATGCTAAAATTCTGCATATACACAATTTTCAAGATTGGGAAAGGAAATTCTTTTTGATTCCTGACAGGGTTGAGAGAAAAGGTGAAATAAAGAGGACAGTTGACATAGAGGTTTTAATGGAGTTTTTTAGGGTTTCTAGAGAGAAGTTCTAGTCTAGGGTTTTGTGAAAACTCAATGAAAGTTGAAGAAGGGTGGAGGGAACTTGTAGGTTGAAGATGGATCAAATTTAAGAAGTTGATGCCTTCTAATAGATTGAATTACAGCTCAAATCAATATTTAGACAAAGAAGAGAGGGTTTGGGGAAAGAAAATCAACACAAGCTCCAATTTTTATTCTATGCTGCATCAAAGAGAAAAATAACAGATATACGCAAGTAACTAGAGTGACTCCAGTTATTGTTCTTCACCATAAATATGAAATTGCTACTGCATTCAAGACCCACAATTTTTTTTTTATTTAATTGTTGATTGATCTGAAAAATTTTATTGTAAGGAAGTAACAGAAAGAATTACAACTATATAAAAGCTATCATACTCCACAAATCTTACAAATGAACCCTTTAGCTCCCCATTCCAAATAAAGATCGCCTACAGGGTAATTGTAAGCCCCTGATATAGGTCCTATGCCTCTATCCCATGTCTAGCTAATTCATCTGCTTTTGAATTGGTTGGTCTCCTAATTCATCTGAACTAGGTATTCATTCTTTTTTTTTTTTGATCAATAACGAATTCATTAGCAACTTCATTAAATCAGGAAATGGATGATTACAAAGAAGACAAGCACTCTTGTCTTCCAAATACAGCTTGAGCCCTCAAGAAAAAGAAAAGGAAATGAAAACAGTAATTTACAGTTTGGCCCAAAACATTGAGTCCCTTTCTACCCCTTGTTTAGTTAATCCATCAGCCAAAGAATTAGCTGATCTTTGAACCCACCTCATCTTCACTTCCATCTCCCTCMCCAGCCACTGAAACTTTTTCCTCTCATTACTGTAATTCCATAGGCTAMTATTATCTTTATTCAGCCACCCTATTACCACCTCCRAGTCCCCTTCAATTATGAGTTTTCTGATATTCATCTCCTTGGCTTTCTGGATCCCTTCCATAACTGCATAAATCTCAGCTCTAAGGGAGTCCCCCACTCCAATTGGGCCTGAGTACAAGGCAGAAATGATCCCATTCTCATCCCTGAAGACACCTCCAATCCCTGACTGTCCAGGGTTCCCTCTACTACTCCCATCAAAGTAGGTATTCATTCTATCAGCCAGAAATCTTGCTTCTCTAATTGTATATCTAAACTCTGAACCTCCATGGTGCTTTTCACCCTTTCCAGCTAACCTATGACCAGATGCGAGTCCCTTTTCACCTCCAATCTATCCTCAGAGAATAGAAAGTTCTGTCTTGTTTGTATTCCCAACACCTATCAGTCTAGAATATATTAGTAGCTTAGTCCTTTTGAAGTGAATGAATAAATTTTCAACTTCAAGTGTCCATCGTACTCATTTCCTCAATATAAGTTGAGTGTCATGATATTTGCAGAAAAGGGATCAGCTGTGAATTCTCTTTTTAGCTGAGGGATCTTAACCATGAATTATTGGAGGTAAAAAGGGTTGTAAATGGATTGGCATTGCGTCAATTATTCTCATTTTCAGCTGTTTCAATTGGCATTGTGTCAATTTACCAATAGGGTTGTAAATGTATTGAATCAAATCCAGATAAGGTTATATCTGATTCTATTTGATACTTGATAGGATGTATCTTCTATGGTTCTATCCTAATTTGATTTGATATCTGATAGATCTGAAAGATCCTGAATCTGAATTCAATTTGAAATAAATGTAGTTTGAATTGATTCTTAATGAAAACCATGGACAAAAAACAACCTTGTTAGTATGAATGAAAGACAGCAAGATATATATGAAATACAAAAGGAAAATATATTTCCAAATATGTCCCCACCTCTCTTATTCCCTTTTGGGTCCTTCCTCTCTACTAAATGACTTAAAACCAGCTCTGTCTCTCTTCTCTCTCGTGGATTTTATGCACAATGCACATGTCATATGGCTAGTGTAAATAAAAAAGTTGGTTTTTACCATTACTTTGAACCCATTAGATGATCATGATCATCAATGGTGGGCCTATTGATGTGTGATTGCTACTTTATTCTTCATTGTGATCCTTTCAAATTCCCAGTGAAAACTGAAAATCCCAAAAGTAGATAATAAAAAAAAAAGAAAGAAAACAAAAAACTGACAACCAAGACCAGTAGATGATAGAGAGTAGAGGGTGGGTGATGGGATTTGATCTTTGAAATGCACATTTACATCTAGATATACAGTTAAAATAACTGAGAGAAGTTGCATCTTGTCCTTTCATTCCATTAATTAGCAACTTGCAAGAACATTTGTGTGTGAGAGAAAAAAAAGATAATGAAAATCTCATTATATCCTTTCAGTACTTTAAGCATAACCAGTACTATTTTAGCTAGCTAAATGAATTGGATACTTAATAGATTGAATTGTCGTATTTCCAATTTTGATCTGATCACTAATCAAATCACAATCTAGAATTCAGGTTTGACTTATTTATTGTTAGTTGGTATCAGAATCCATGTCAAAAGGCTCTGGAAGGCAGTATTGCATGGACATGGACCGAGAAGTCAAAATATGATGTTTATTCCCAGAGTCTGACTCAGCAAGATGAGAAAACATGGACTAATTGATCAAAAAAAAAGAAAACATGGACTCATGGGCACATCTATGGAAATGTATATAATATTAAAATAATTCATATTTTTTGAATTAACATTATATACATGCAAACAATGTTACTTTAGTTACTAAATAATGTTTGATACAAAAAAAGAAGGATTCATCTTGTAGTTCAGCTTTTCATTTATGTCAAATAATCTAGGAGATAAAAGGGAAATGTAATATAGAAGTTTCCTTAAGAATCCATGGATTGTCAGACTTGGACACACGGCCAACATGACACACCATCCATTTTGGAGAGTCCATGCAACTGCTGGAAGGTCATCTGTTATCAAAACCTTGAGGTTTTCTTCTCAAGTTTGCAGGCTTTAAAAGATCTTGTTTCAGAAGTGGCACATACCTTATTTTGATTTCAATTCTTCCATTTTTCAGGCTTGACAGAGAGTTATGGAAAACAGGCTGGAGGTCATATAAAACCAGTTCTGTCACTGGGGACTCCTGATTTGGTTGTACCTTCACAAATTGATTATAGCCAATCAGTAGTAAGTTTCTTTTATGTATTCAGGTGGACGATTATTATTGTGGGTATTGGTCTGATGTTTCATAATTCATATTTCAGGCCTGCATTCCATACCCTTATGCTGAACCATATTTGAGTGGATACTTGACTGCTTATGTACCACAGACTGTTGTAAGTACTGTCAAATATCTTGTTTTTTCTAATGTACAGATATAATCTCATTTCCAGATTGCTTCCACTTGGTAGAGATTATATGTAAGTTAGGTCACTGGCTCATCTTTGTGATTATGCAAGAAACCTTCTCATTGATTAGTCTCTAGCTTTCAATGACAGCTCATTTTCTAGTTGGGATTTTGCGGTTATTTGGTATAACATTTAGGCTGCCATTATTGTGCACTGTAAAACAGCTTTTGATTACTCACAAAGAGGGGGGGGGGAGGATATATGAACAGATTCATAGTAAAATTTATGAAATGAATTTTTATTTGAATCCCAATGAATTGTATAAATTGAAAGATTTATGAATCAAATCATAAAAGCGTAAGATTTTTTTCAGAAAAATATTCAGACATAAGATTTGAATCGAAACCCTTGGGATTCATGATTCAAGTTGTGAATCGTATCGTAAATCATAATATTTTGACAGCATTGATTCAGTCTCCTGTGATGTTGAAATTCATACAACATTGAGTTTGGGGTTGGATGAAACTGGCTGATGATCTGAAACATGCCAAACTAATCATGTGTCCTTGGGGCATTAGCGTTTCTTTCAGATCTTGTCCTTTAGACAAATCTTGGTTTAGGGCTAGCTCATTTTTCTATTAATGATGCTACCTATCAGAAAAAAGAGATCGATGAATTGTTATTTTATCGGGCCTTGCATATCTTTTTTTGTCAGGATTTGGGCTCTCTGTTTTATTATATGATTTTTTTTTATTTTATGTGCTGCTTTATTTAATTTTCTTGAATAAGCATATTGAAATATAAAAGCCCAATCTAATRAGTTCCCAATTGAAAATTTGTTCACCATGCCCGGAAGAACTCACAAGTTCATTTATTTTCTTAATTTTCTTTTCCTCTTCAATCTTTTTTTGTTTTCCATGTTATTGTTTCTTTATCTATCTTCTGAGGCAATTAAAGGGACCACTTCTTGTATGTTATAATTTGTTGCACTCTTTTGTAGTATCATCTTTCCCACCTTTTGTTTTCTGTAGGCCCTGCTCCCTTGTTTGTTGGGATAGGCATTGCCTTCTGTATGGCCTTACCCTCTCCTGATCTTTCTTATAAGAGTCGTTGGTTGTTTAAGCCAAAAGGTTCTCAGTTCTGTTTATTAGCGATTTTTACATGTGCCATCTGAGGTAAAGTCCAAATTGGGTCTTTGTCTTTCTAATGTTCTCCACTTTCCATGTGCCAAATTAGAGCCAAATGGCGCTCTGCCATGTGGTAAAAGAGTCATCTCTCTCATAATTATAGAACCAAATAAATTTCATGATCAATTATTTTGACATGAAAAATGAAAATATGCATTATAGCATGGGTGAACAAGAAAGGGGCACAGGTTTAAATGTTTAATCCAGAGGGCCACCTTATCATACAGGTTCTATCTGTCATCTCAGCATGCCATGAGGCAAAAACCCTTAGTGGATACATAAAAAAGGCCATTACCTTGATTAAAAAAAAAAAAGGCCATTACCCAATGTTGGTCCCAGAGACTAACCTTTGGCATTTTTATGCATAAAGTGGTCACTCAGACTCTACCCACGGTCTCATACTCATCAGCCGAGACCAAGAAATTAGACAGTTATTGTCTTATTGAACTGTCGCTGTACTGTAGTTTTTTTTTTTTTTTTTGAAAGCCTGATAAGGCATCGCTATACTATATCTTTGTCAATTTGAGCAGGGGACAATGTCATCAGTGCCAGTCTTTTGGTATTTAATTATAATTTGCTGTCGTTCCGGAAGGGAATGTGAAATAGCTTCATTTGAAGTGGTTACTACCATAAAATGATGCCTTTTCCACCTTTTCTCTCACATGCGACGTTTTTCGGGAATTTAAAACAGATTCACCCACAGATGATTGGGATGGTACCTGCACGAATCCCATTGCCTCTTGGGCTTTCAGAGGATGAACCCATCTATGTCAATGCAAAGCAGTATCGTGGAATTCTCAGACGAAGACAGTCACGTGCCAAGCTTGAGGCCCAAAATAAACTTGTCAAAAGTCGCAAGGTTTGTATCTTTTGCCTATCCACTGTCCCTCCTTTCTTCCCTTGGACAGTTGACCCCCCATTTATACTAAAATCTAAAAATTATTTGCAGGCATATCTTCATGAGTCTCGACATCTTCATGCACTCAAGAGGGCTCGGGGATCTGGAGGACGCTTTCTCAACATAAAGCAGCTCCAGGAGTCCAAGCCTACTGCCCCTGTGGGTGGCCATGATGTCTCAGACTCTGCTTCTCTACAACAGGGTGGAACTCAATCGGAATCTGAAGTTCATCAGTCGGACACTGGGACTGCAGGTGGCTCTGCCCCATACTGCTCTGATGTCACAAGCGATGAGAGCTGCCTGCAGTTCTCGGTCTATCCTGCCCAGAGTGAGATTGGTAGTAGCATGCAGGGTGGAGTGGGCATTATGAGGAATGGTTCACAAGTCCGGGTTCCTGTCATGCGATGAGGGATGACGATGATGGCAACCACCAGATCAGCTCAACTAGGGTGTTACCTTACCGTCTACAGTCTAAACTTGATTGATGAAATTTCATTAATTGGTTGGGTAGGGCAACTATGAAGCGGCTGACTGGTGTTCCATTTGGCAATTCATCCTTGGCTTTGATACTGGTATATGTTTGGTTCCGCTGGCGTTTAGATAAACGTCATTTATTGCTTTAAATGTTTATTTGTGTTATTTTATTTTAAACATTTATTGCTTTTTTTTTGGTTGGACATCATTTTAAATGATTTTTGCTTTCTACCTCAGATTAACACCCATAAAAACATGCCACATCTATATTTTGTTCATGTTTGTTGGCTATCTTTGTTATATAAACAACTCCACAAGGAGCAGACACGGCAATTGTTTTAGTGAAGGTAGTAACTACACCACACTCCTCTTTTAATCACCTGGGCATTGGGGATTACTTAACATGTATGGTTTGTTTGATGGTGACAGTGTTGCTGAATACCTAGCGTATCAAATCTTCATTCTCTTGGCTCAGTTTGGAAGCAGGACAAATGCAAATATGTACAGCTTAAATACATACAAAATAATACAAAATATAAGGTTTTGCACTCTATATATTTGCATTTGTACTCCTTCCAAACTCGGCCTTAATCTCTTCCACCAAGCAGAATCAGCATTTTATGGTTTTTACCAAAATAAAAAAAAAGGAATTAGCGATTCTTTTCCTCTTTCCATTTTGATGACAAGGAGATTGGAGAATCAATTAGATAGCCTACTTTGGTTCAGTGCAGCCAAAAAAGCACAAGTGCCCGTTTGGGAGCTTTCTTGTGGTGGTGGCTTTTGGCTTTGTGAGATACTGAGGTAGGCCACACCTGAACAGCTCATGAGCAATGTTTACCTGTAAAGCTCAAATTTGCTGTTCTTCAGCCAAGAAAGCGGTTCTCTGTTGAAGCTTCTTTTAAAGTGTCCCAATGAAAGCATATCTACCACAGTACATCTGTACATGTTATTAATAACGACTTTGTGTTGTACTGTTGTGGCCCAAGCCCAATATTGATTGAGCTTCCTTAGTTAAGTGAATGACACCGAAATAGAGTTGAGTTGGAGCCATTACAATACCTTGGGTGCTTTGTTAAAAAAAAGGGAAAACTTTCGATTAGTAATTTGTACTTTGGGTTACATGTCACTTTGGTCCCCAAATATGACAATCCAATACCTGCTGTTAACTATTTGTTAACCAGTTGTTAAGTAGTATTTGAAAAAGATACAAATGTCCTAAAAGTGTTATTTAATTTTTTTTTATCAATCATCTAAATATTGGCAAAAAAATTAATAGTCTCATATCTTTACTTTTTCCATTCAACAAAGTTAGGGTCATGTTCGAGTGGGCATCCTGATGATCCCAACTTTCTCAAATAGAAGAGGTGTATGGATTTGAAACTGTTAATTTTTTGTCAATGTTTGGATGATTGATAAAGAAAATTAGATAGCACTTAAATGACATTTGTGTCTTTTTCAAATATCATTTAACGTTTCAAATATCATTTCCGTTTCGTTGTCGCTTATCTCTCGAGCTCGCGCCTGAGTTTCAACTCGCATCCAGTTCGCGTCCAAGTTTTTTTTTTTTTTTTTTTCCAGTTCGC